CAATCACCCCGACCTCGTGAACAAGCTGGTCGGTTCAAATCTCATCCTTCCTATCCACGTGATCTTCAGCAGCACGACGCGCCGTCAAGTCACGTGGCACGCATGCAAGTGACGACGAGCGTGGCGGTTGCGGTGGTGGCACACTTAAATTGTGACGACGCTGGACAGAGGATCACATCTGGGATGGTTGTCACCAATGCGATTATCCTAGCTCAGACGTCTACGTACCGATGTGGTCGCTCTTATCTTCGCCGAGTCTGGAAAGCGGCGAAATGTATTGCCACTCGCTTGCCAACCAAGTCACTTCGGTGCCATAAACGACGAATCGACCCATTCTGAAGCTGTCCGTGAAGCTGTCCGTCCAAGCGATGGCCTCTCTGCAAAGGATGCCATCATGTAAACCTATCATACATCATGAGTCACATCTCTTCAAAAGTCTGTGTCAAACAGGAAACCTCCAAAGAACCCGACACGGTGGAGCTCTTGCCCTGGTTCCTGTGGCTGTCTCGAAGAGCTTGAGATGGAAGCGGGGTTTGAGGGGGCTTGATGGTGGCTGCCGATGCTTTCTCTTCTGGGCGCCAAATTCTGGGTCGCCTACATTTGCCTCTAGTGTCCACTGTGGCGGGATCCGTTCTTCGGCCGTGGTCGATTTGTAGAACCCACAAGGACTCGAGTCCGGTCCTACGATGACGACGCAATTGACGAGCATCTCTCGCCTTGAAGCTTGTTGGCAGTTCTGCAAAGTCAGTTGTGCTTCCAGCTCGACGAGTGCACTTGCCCTCGAGGCGAAGTTGCCATAGCTAGAGCCAAACATTCAACCTCGTCTAGGTTTACCCACCCTCGCCACAACTTCTCGTTGCGCCACGCCGATGCATGCCGGTGTTCATGGGGGGGCGTCCCCATCAAGTCCTATGCCGTCCCCCCAGGCGAAGGTGTTGTCGCCACCACCACTGACGTGTCAACATGGCATGCACGGAACAGCACGGAACATGACGCGTGCGCCGCGGCACCGTTTTTTGTTCGTGCCCATTCCTTTCGAGAAATCTCACATCGTGGTCACCGCAAGAAGGATATTTATATTGGGATGCCTGGCGCCGCGACCCTACCATGCGTTCGCGACGCGTTCCCCCATCGCAAGGCGGGCAATCGAACTCGATTGCGCGACGGAGTAGCGACGACATCAAGCAAACCTGCCACGGTAACCTGACCTTATGCCTGTGGTGCCTGCCACTTTGGTGCCCAGCTGCAGGCACTTTGTCCATGGTCACCTTTCGCTGGGGTGGTTCACGTCGGGGGCGTCCTCTTCATGACTAACTACCTTGAAGACGACCTACAACATTTATTGAGAGTCGCCACCCAAGACCTTTGGAGCTCGACATGGAATGGCGGGCCTGTTGAACGCGCTATTCATGCCGCCGGGTCGGCTTTCGCTGGGTGGCTAGCTCCTCCACCGTCGGCAAACCATCGCCTTGAGCTTGGCTGATGCCATCGGTGACAAATCCCGTCGGACGAGGTGTCGTACTCGAACGATAAAAGCCCCTGAACGACAACCGGTGAGGGAATAGAAAGTTGTCGCCGCCCCCCGTGGATCTTCTAGCTCGAGCCAAGGAGAGGCATATTTTGCACATCAGCATCGATTCCCACGGAGGCTGGGGGCCTCTATTCACATCCCCCTCGTGGGTGGCTCGCTAGGCGGGCGATCGCACACATATTCCACGAGGGTTGATATGGCGGATCGAACGCCGCTGCTGTTCTTTGGCCAACTGACAAGCAATTTTACCCCCAAGCAATTCCTCGATATCGACCTCATTCGAGGTCTGTTATAGCTGCCGCGAGCACCTTCGGATGTTCCAAGGGAGGTAGTTGATCGCTCTCGTTCGTCGCATACAGCAGAGACGACTTGTGAGTGAAGCGGGGGATCGATAGATGTCTTGGCCGGCCGCGGCTGCCGCCAAGATGCCAAGTGGCAAGTTGACAGGCGGGACGACGCGCCCTTCGCGCCCAGAAGGAACGATTGCCAGGTAGTTTCCTAGTCAAACCGGTGGTCGTGCATGCTAGTTGGCCGCGGACCAGGTCGGAATGACCTTGAAGTTTATATACAATGTCAACCCACCTCCGCCTTCTCTCTCTGAGATTTTGCAATCTCAGAGCGTCGGCTCGCTTCGCCGACAATCGACACCGTTGCAAGATCTTTTCGTGCCTCGCTCGGCTTACCTGGGCCTTTTCATCCTTCTTGTCCAAACATCGCTGGGCCGTCTAGCGTCGGAATCTGCCACCCAATGCCTCGGCAAACCTCCCCTCATTTTCTCCCTCCATGAACCCTTCCCGTTGGACAATCCTGACCACCATCAATCCAGGCGGAATTTCCCACTCCAGACTACTGCGCCATTCTGGCCACCATACAACGCGTGGAAGGGTCCGTTCGCCATGGCTAGTACCCCACGGCGCCACAGAGCGTGGGCATCGAGGCACCCTCGGACGCGGGAGGGGAGAGCGCGAGAGTTTCTTCGGTTGTCTGGGCACCCGTTTCAACGCCACTGGCTCTCACGTTGAAGTTGTTGAAATCCAGCGATTTGATTCGCTAAAACAGAGTGGCGATATGAATTTTGATAGGTTTTTCCGTCCAAGATGGAGTCCACCCTCTCATTTCGAGATTTTGTCCGCGCCATGGAAGCTGCCGTCGGTCCGTCGGCTTCCGCGCTTGGCGCCATGCCGTCGTCAGGAGCGTCGTTCTTCCCGACGCCGACAGAGATATCCGTGAGCTTTCGATGGGTGCGAGACCATCCTGTTGTTGCAGCAGCGACCTGTGCTGCCGCGACCGCAGTCTCGGTCGTAGCGTACCTGGCACTGCAATCCAAGTCGACAACGATTTTAGACCCTCTCGACGCACACGACTACTTTGACAACGACCTCGTTGCATGTAAAGCCGCGAAACGTGGCGAATCCAACGCATCCGACTACCCTACAGAAAAAGACAGCACGTTATCATTATGTTCCGTCAGCGGAACGGGAGAAGTCGCGACGAGTCCACACACTCTCGAAGTACTCGACGCCGTCCCAGAACAAGGTCTAGCCTACCCAACAGACGATTGTGGGGACTCCGAGTCCCCTGCATGGGGCTGGTATGTCTCACTCACCCCCCCAGAAGAAATGTACGCCCCGACAGCATACAAGGCCGAATGAGGTCGCCTCGTATGTGTGGGTGTCCCTCCGACAATTAACTTAACGCGCGATGCAGCGCATGTAACATAGCGTTATCTATTCTTTTCGTACTTCTTCCGTCATCTCGTGGCCTCTTGACACAATGACGAATTCGACAACGAAACTAGATTCCATTAGGTTGCCCGCACATCGCGATAAGCACAAGTGGACGGGCCTCGTGAGCCCACCACTCGGTAAAACTTTCTACGTACTGTGGATAGCAGCGGTCGTTATCTGTGTCGATAGATTTTAGCTATTGACACATGACGATCTCTCCATCGAAACAAAGCACGAATGACTTACGTTCCATCGTCATCCTCTTCGAAACAAGTGAACATGGACTTGATATCCGTCATATACGCTGCGCAATCGACAAGCATTGGAGCTCCCGCCACGAGCGCCGGACGCACGACCTACGGACGAAGAACACAAGGTCACGCCACGATTCCACCTCGGGAGCAGACCAATGACTGTACCGATTCTAAGACTACATGCTTGGTGCGAATCCTTCGGAACGCACTGGACGTCGACCTCTGGGACCCTCGATTCAGAGCACGTTGCACGGAGCGCGTGACATACAGCGCCGACCCCGGGCGGTAGAACATGCTTGTGAATCGCTTGTGGCCAAGCGTGGTGGAGCAGTCCTCCGTTCTCTATTTTAGCCAATCAAATGAGATTGATTCGAATGCACCATTTGGATTGGCTACATTTTCCAACTCCACCTCTCAAATCACAAAAACAAGATGACCCAAGCCGATGAAACTCAGTTGACCTTGCGCGTAAGCCCGCACTTCCCGCGCGTCCCGAAGGCGTGCAAGTCCGTTGGTGAGACCTTCTTCGCGTGCCTGTACAAGCACGGGAAGCAGCCAGAAGGAGTGAGCGACCCCGATGCTGGCAAAAAGGGGATGCAATCGTGTGTGCGCCAACTCGAAGCGTACAATGCATGTGTCGACAAAGTGTTTGCCGACAAGCCGCGTAAGATGTTTCGAGTCCCCGAGGCCTACCGCGTCCGAGAAGAGTAGATGACAAGCCGAGTCATTCGTGTCTAATGGAACGACGACGCCGGGTACGCTGAAGAACCTGATGGAATTCATTTTCTGGAGCGAGCCAAGCGCTTGCATTGTCTCCTTGAAAGGTTGCGCACACGTGCAGACCACCTGCATGACATACCGGGAGCACCACCTGCATGTACTGCGGGTTGAGCCCTCATGCTCGTCAAACTTGCTTAGCATCCCCATACCTCATTGGCATCCTCCAAATGCATGGCACGCTCACGCATCTCTGGTTCAACAGTTTTTGTTCGCGCAACTCGTCAAGCCAACTTTGATGGACAACTTGTTCAGGTGTATTCGGTCGCATTCTCCGTCGGGCCAAGTGGAAGGCAACCGCACGTGAGCCCTACCGCATGCATTTGCATCAAATATCTTCGAAATTTGGCCATGGATGAAAGGATGCTCGTCCGCGCGCGGCAATCTCGTTACCGCGCAATGGCGCGGACGAAACAGTCCAAGGGACTCCGCGAACGAATCGTCAGGTTGATGGCCGGGAGCAATGCGCTGCCGTCGTGAGCACGCAAAACAACGAAGTCGTCACGTGCATCATGCAAGGCAGACGGGTTGGAGATTGCATTCGTGAAAGCTGGTGCAACCAAGTGACTTGCGGACGTGATCGTGGCGTCGGCTTTTTCAGTGTCGCCTTCCCGTACCATCAATCCGAGAATCGTCCGCCACGTGGCACCTAAGGTTGACATCATGGCCAAGACCTGCAGGAAGCTGCAGCTCCCATGACATAGATAAGCGTGGAGACGGACGACGTGCAAAATAAAACTGTTGTGTTGCATTGTGGAGGACGCTGCACAGTTACAAAGACGGAGACGCTACCCAGCGACAGGTCGGGGCGAAGCTGTATTTGACCTCGTCTTAGTTTAGTTTTGGGCGTCCTTTTCCCAGTCCAAGGCGGCAATTTCGTCGTCGATTTCTTCGACGATTTCAGGATGCATCGCGGCAAGTTCGTCCACGGACGTGTCCTTGGTGACGCGGGTTTGCTCCAACAACGAAACGAATTCCTTCAATTCTTCGATGCGTTCCACCGAGTCTTGCATTTCGGCGTCCAAGCGGGCGAACGTGGGCTTCAAGTCGCCTTCCACGCTGCGGCCCGGGGTGTAGCAGTCACTGGGCTTAATATCAGGGTACACGATCGTATTGTAGTTTTCTTCGAGCGCATCGACCAAATCCTTGTTCTTGATCAAGTTTCTGTAGTGGGCAAAGTTGATCGCTTCCGGTTCGTGTTGGTACAACAACCCTTCGCTCAAAATGTTGTTGTGGGTTTGCTTCAAGCTGTCCAACGATTGGCGAGCGCGGGCGTCGCTCAACTTGGAGCGAAGGGGTTCCCAGTTCGTGCTCAACGACACGGGCGCAAACACCGACGACGCCGCCGTGCTGAAGCTGCGGCTCGTTTGCTTGGCGACCACACGCAAGGAGTTCATGTTGCCGTCGGAAATTCCAAAGACGCGAAATGACTGCAGACGGCTTTTCAGCCACCCAGTGGGGCTAAAACCTGTGAGAACAAATCTTGTGAAAATTTATACCTCAAACGAGACAGGACAATTTAAAATATGTAGTTTTTTCATTTGTCATATTTTTATTCACCCTGCATTCCATCCGCGGTTTGGTCTTAAGAAAGGTTTTAATTTTTTGGTGAATACACTATATCACGTCCACCATCATGACCTGGAAATAGTGTGATGTACTTTGTGGATTGTCCACGCAACTTGATTTGGCATTCCGTCGTTGGCCAAGCATCTGAAGCGCGTCCGTCCGATGAACCAAGAGAGCGGCGTCGACAAGCTCAAGCGCAAGTTTATGGAGAACCCATTTGTCCCGGTGGGGGCGCTCCTGACTACAGTCGTCCTCGTCGGTGGCATGCGTACCTTCATGGTGGGTGGCGATTCGCGAACACAACAACGGTACATGCGAGCTCGCGTGGTTGCCCAAGGCGCGACTGTGGTTGCCGTCGCGGCCGGCAGCGTGCTTTACGACAAGAACTCGGTAGGACGAAAGTGGTTGAGAGAACGAGGCATTTTCCTACCGGGAGACGATGCCGAGCCCGCTGCCGAATCAACCTAAGCATAATCAAATGTTCACCTGTCATGCAAGTTGCGAACGACGATCAGCTGCGTGCAAGACGCGTCTAATGGTATATATATATTACGCCATAAAGAAGAGGAAGAGCACGACAAACACGAGGAGTATGCCGCCGACCTTCATCATGAGGGCGCTGTTGCTGAGATTATTGCGGAAGATCTCGAGCTGGCGCGTGCCCTGGTCGACGTTCCGTACGGCGTCGTCGACGTTTTCGTCGATTCTAGGCCAAATGCGTCAGGGCGCGTCGTCATCAGTGCCTCGTTATGACCAACGTACATTCGAACGCTTTCGCCCTGGGCACTAATCATCACCGAGAGTCGCTGGAAGAGTTCGCCGAGCTCGACGATGTGCGACTGGATATTCGTCACAGCTTCGGCCCGCGAGTCGGCGTATCCTTGGTCTGGCACGACGAATTGTTGGCTCTACCGAATTAATCGCACCAAAGTCTCTGTGAGAACCACTCAGTACATTTAAACTGCGTACTTGTTCAGAGATCAGCGGAACCCGTTCGCTGCCTCCACCCTCGCCATCGACACCAACTGGCCGCGGCAATGGAGCGCTGAAGGCCAGCGGCAGACTACGGAGGAGGACATGGGTGGGATGGAAACGAGCAGGTGTAGCCCACGCAGGCGCGAACATGTGGTGGAGGAAGTGGGGGAGGATGTGCACCATGCGTGTACCTTGGCGTGCCTCGCCCGTACTGGGACTTGCGGTCGTGTTGATGCTGCAAGTTCTCCTGTCGAACTTGCAAAATGTCTTTGAATCCTTTCGTCGTGTTCATCAATGTGCTTTTCATTTGTGTCACGATCGCGTCCGAGTGCTTGGCGGCGTGCTGCGACGAATAGCCTGCGCGTTGCCGTTGCTGGAACAACTGTACCGTCGGGGCGGACGCATGCGTGTGAGGAGGTGATGAATTCAAAAACTACGTACTTCGAGGTCGTCGAGCTTAGTGTGGATGAGCGTGATGTCTTGCTTGACAAGCTGGGTCAGCTCGTTGATTTGGCTGGTCGGGTCGTTGAACATGTTGGTTTGCCGAACGACTGCATAGGTGCATGCCAACAACATGACATGTGCATGAGAGATGTGCCACGAGACACGAGTGGACGTACGAAGAGTTAGTTGCTGCAGTCGCTGGGACACCTTGTTCACGTCTTTCGAGATATCCGAAGCAGATGCATTGAAGTGGACTTGCTGCTGGAGTGCGGACAAGGGTGGCTTCTACGAGTGTCGACACATCGTTGGTGTTGCCGTGGAGTATCGCGAGATAGACACGGAGCGACCACATTTGTCATCCACGTACATGTTTCCTGGACGCAACGTGCTCCACCAGCGGTCTCTGGCTCTGACAGAGCGTCCTGAATTCGCTCGTGCGGTCCGTCATCCTCCGCCGCTTCCCGGCTTGTCCACGGCAGTCGCTCTTCCTATTATAGCCGCTCAGTAAAGTGCGCTCGATAGAGCTCTTTTAAGTGCGATTGCATTCGTCGTTCTATTGGCCGAAATGCTGCATGCGACACATCTTCTCTCCCGCGTGACATGGCACCGGCGCTGCATTCGCGGACTTCGTTCACATGACAGACCCTCGATCGGCCGTCTTGGGCGTGCTCCTCCATGCACCCCTGTTGTCCATGGTGCTTCAATTCCAGCACGGACTGACCTTCGACCTCCGTCAGCGTTATGACGAATGCAGAGCAATGACTCTTCTCCTCAATTGGGATTCCGAGTGCCTCTATCCACTCCCGTCACGATACGCTCGCGCCGCCGAAGCGCACGACCTTCTTCGAAAGCTTCCTGATACAATCCTATCTCCGCGTACCAACATGGATTTGGCAACACTGGTCGCTTCCAGCGACCTATGCCTCCACGCCGACTCCCCAATGTCCCACCGTGCTTTTCATCTCGCAATATTAGAAGGGGACCTGCGTATTGTACAGAAATGGATCGATTTCTACGGCACCCCCCAGTCGTATGCCATGGTCACGCCAGCTGCGTTGGATTTCTGTGCAAGACTCGGTGCCCAAGATCTGCTTCACTTTCTTCTGTCGACCACTCCACAACGATGCACCACACGCGGTGTCGACGCTGCCTGCAAGCACGGACACTTATCCATCCTCACGGTGCTGCATCGCCACAAACTTGCCCCTTGGTCGACAGGTGCAATGGATGGTGCCGCCCTCCACGGCCATATTGACATCGTGACCTTCCTCCACACACACGGCGCCCCATGCACGACTCTGGCCATGAGCGGCGCCGCCTCGCGTGGTCATCTCAACATTGTTCGGTTTTTGCACGAGAATCGAAGCGAGGGTTGCACAAAGTGGGCGATGGACGCAGCAGCGAAGCATGGCCACTTCGACGTAGTGAAGTTTCTCCACACGAAGCGGCGCGAAGGGTGCACGGATGCGGCGCTCACGGCTGCTGCCGGTGGCGGCCATTTGCGAGTTGTACGGTATCTGTGGGAAAATCGACCGATGGATTGCTTCGTCCGTGCTGCGCACGAGGCCGCTGTGGCCCAAGGACACGTTCATGTGGCGGCATACCTCCAACGGCAATGCCCAGTCTAGTCTACCATGTTTGAAAACGCTGCCATCGATCGTACGTGATTGAGCGTATTGTTTACCTGGTAGTCCGTCCAGGCCCGTGCTGACGTTCTTCGGCGACATTTCGACCGGTAGCTGGCTGCAGATTCAAGTATTTGACGGTTTGCCGCGCATCAGCGGGCCTTGACCTATCTTCGCTGGCCCCCATCGATTGTAGTCGTTTGGTTGCATGGAGTACGGCAGCACTTGATGGTGGTGAGGCTAGTGAAACAAGTCGTGGTGCACCCCTTGGACGCCTCACGTGACGCGGGCGTTTGACCAGCGGGTTTACTTGGCTCGATGCTTTTCCTCTTTCGCCTGCAGGATAATTCCGAATTATCGTCATCTTCGTCAACTTCGCCTTGTTCCAAGCCGTCCGCTGCCATGTTCAATCGAGCGAGAGGGTTGTATGGGATCGAGATGGCGTATGTTCCATGACACGATCGGCCGTGTCTTTGCCGTGACGTCCTGTGAACAGCTCCGGAAACTCGGGGTGGTCGATCGCGCGAAAAATCGTGTCGCGAGGCTGGACGTTGCCCTCATCTAGCTCGACGACGGCATTGCCTGCCCCGTGGCGAATGTTGGCGCGGGCAACGACCTCATTCCGCAGCCGCTCGGCTATCGATTCGAGGTGCACTCTCCCAACGACGACATGGTTTGGACTTTGCCCCGCACTTGCACGCGCATTTCGACCAGCGCGCCCTCACCACCGCCACCTACCTATGCCTCCGGTATCGTGGAGCTGCACCTCGACTTCATGCCTCAGGCGCACTGCGCAATCGAGTCGAGCGGAACCTCCCTCCCACCGCCCACTTGCTTGTGCGCGAGAAATGTCAGCACCATGGACCTCCATGTGACCCCAGTTGCAATCCACTCCCGGCCAGCGGTTCCTCTTCGACGAGGCGTTGCCACACGGCCTCTACGTACTTGCAAACGCGGCGTACGTCGTAGGCGTTGAGCCCTGTGAATCGAACGGAGATGCCCTCCGTCCGCATGGTCACCTTGCCGTGGCCATGCTGCTACCGCATGTAGTTGATGTCGGCCTTGGTAAAACGTTCTTGATTGCGTCAGCCTCACGCGTCCGCCAGGTTATTCCAGTCTTGTTCAGCACGAGGACGCCGCTCTCAACATGCTTTGCACATCAGTTGCCTCCATCAGTCCACTAGTTCAGCGCTACGTTTGAATTTTGACCCAGATAGAACTGCTGCACTTGCCCATGTCGCGGGAATTGTGGTGGGCCGTTCCCGATATTCACGCACAATATCATGCTCCTTCGCCATGCCACCCCATTATCTAGTCGAATCTCGCTGCCAGAGGTTGCAAAATGTGGCGCGTTGGTGCTTCGTCTGTGACTTAGCTTGGGCACGACTGCACAGAGATGATATCAAATCCCTGTTGTGGAAGCAAAGAGGTAGAAGGATGCAGCCTTCCGACTCACAGAGGTTCAGTCAGGGTGTGCCTTGCTCGCCATTCTTCGAGGTATGTGGGTGCAATTGACGAAGTGAAGCTACAATTCGCCGATGGCGCCGAAATCACTATCCACACTGCCAAAAGGTAATCGTCGACGCTTTGTTCCACACTCGGCGCCGGTTGAGCGTGCTCATGCAGGCGACATGGCCAGGCTACGTGGCCCGCGAGGACGCTTACCTGGACCTAATAGGAACCCCGAGGCCATACGTCCACGAAGTGCATCATCGTTGTGCACGACAAGTCGACACTGCACATCAGGCATGTCACCAACATGACGAGCACAAAAAACAAAAGGGCGTTTAGTTCACGAGTCCAACTTTAGCTCGAGCATTTGCCATATCGAACAAGTCCCCTCCATCCCGTTCCCCGCCAGGGCTGCGTCATGGACGCATACTTACCTTACAACGGCACGCTGCAGGCCATCCATCGCGTCGTCGTGGCGCCAACCCTTGTGATGGCGCACGGCGAGCGGCATGCGAAATGAGCTCTTCGTTGACCTTCTCGAACGGCCGTTGGATCTTCCACTTTCACGGTATTTGATTGGCTACATGTTGTCCAATCAAGCAACGCTAAGCGTGCCAGCCAATCAAACACGAATAAAACGTGTGGCGCATTCAATTATGATTGGCTGACGAATGGAGCGATCGGATTGGTCGAGAATTTAATGCTCACGAGGTATGAGATCCCCATAACGATATTCTCCCGTCATCCGCCATGTTTGCTGCCACAGGACTCCGCGCGCTCCGCCGAGCACTGCCCCAGACGCGCACGCCCGTGCGCATGTACCATGAGAACATCATCGATCACTACGAGAACCCGCGTAACGTCGGGTCCTTGGACAAGAAGTCGTCGTCTGTAGGCACTGGTCTCGTCGGTGCTCCCGCGTGCGGTGACGTCATGAAGTTGCAGATCGAAGTCGACGAGAATGGCACGATCATTGACTCCAAGTTTAAGACGTTTGGATGTGGGTCTGCGATTGCGAGCAGCTCCGTCGCCACCGAGTGGCTCAAAGGAAAGAACGTTGACGAATGCCTGAACATCAAAAACACAGATATCGCCAGTCACTTGAAGCTGCCGCCCGTAAAATTGCACTGCAGCATGCTTGCAGAAGACGCGATCAAGGCTGCAGTCCAGGACTACAAGGACAAGCAGAAGGTTGCAATGAATGCGTAATTTTGTTAATTTTAATGAACTGTTCCGTCGTCGCTTGGTGTCTGCCCACCTCTCATGCCCATCCGTCACTTCGTGCAAGGTATCATGGGAGGCTGATGGTCGTTCCACGTCACATGGGTCGCCCCAGATGCACCTTCGCCGCCATCTTCCATCTACTAGGACCAACGCCCAGGTTCATTTCTCCATCGACTTTTCTCCACGGATTACCCTCCATCACTTTAGTATAAAAACGCACCGCCACCGCTTATCCCGTTGGCTTACAGGATGTTATTGGCTTATCCGTACTATCATCTCTCGAGTTTGCCACGGGGGCTACGTAGATGAGCCGCCGCTTGAAGGAAGCAGCCACACAACAACGACGAGTTCTTGCGAGTTGATGCGGAAGCTGCGAGTGTGCAATGCACATGCGAAAGAATGCGATAGAACTGGCTCAGTTGCTCGACCTCCTCTGGAAGCTGTGCGCGATAGGATGACAGGACACAACGACTATCCACACGAGTCGATACATTGCGGTGTAAAAAGTGGTGCCTGGCTACGTCATCAAGGCTTCAGACGTCATGGGCAACATAGTTGTGAAGCCTTTTTTTGGATCGGCACTGAGTCACATCGACGTACGACTAAAATGTCTACAGACAATCGACCAATTCCACGATCATCCACAAAAGCGAATGGCGACGTTGTTCTCGGGCTTTGTATTCCAGCAAGAACTGTCGCCACTTACACGACGAACCAGCCCTGCGTTGTTGAGCGTAACCACTTCGACAACCTGCACTTGAAAATGTGACGCTCCAGTCTTTTTCAGTAACGTTACCATAGCGACCTTCGCAGTGGATCGACGTTTGTACAAGGCTTTCCTGTGTAGAAATGCAAGAATGGATTGCACATCGTGGAACGATTCCATTAGCTCGCGTCGTCTCCTATGGCAAGGCGCGCCGCGGAAGGATTCCGTCCGTACACAGTCACGGTCGAGGCGTCATGGGGGTGCACGCCACCTTGACATTCACTCAATGCCAGCAATAATTACGTCGAGAAATCTTGATGTTTAAATTCGATGATTTTTCGTACAAACAAAAGGCTCCATCAAAAATTGAATTTACAGTTAAAACATTTTCAATATTTTTTTGTCTTCTCCGACTGCCGCCGTTAGCTTGCCTTGTTTTGAGTGACTTGCGACACAGTCGCGAGAGAATTGAGCCACCGTCTCGCTCGAGTTGCTAACCCCGCAACTCGAGGTAGGGAGCGTCGATGGCGGAACCATCTATCGCCCCAATTGCCAGCACGGCAGCTCCGCGGCCCACTACACCTGTCGCGCTTCGGCCATTGACGCCTACAAGTCCGGCCATGGCTCCATCGGACGCGTCACCGACCCAACGTGTCCTTGGTGTATTCTTCCCCGACGACGACGTCAATGTAGATCGAGTGCATGAATGCCCCGTGTGTCTACGCACCTTTTCTCTCGTTCGATTCAAGCATCGATGCAAAGCGTGCGATCGCAACGTGTGCAACGACTGCTCCAAGAGCCGACTGCGCTTGGATGACATGGGGCTAGACGGCGCGAACACGCCCAAGCGTGGTGGCGGTCATCACGTTGCGCGAAAAGACCGTGGCCACAAGAGCTCTCGCGTATGCGACCCTTGTGCTCGCAGCTACTTTGAGAGCAAACTCGAAGCGGACTTTTCCACTTCGTCCACCCCACTCGTCACTCCATTGTTACATCCGGCACTTACTCCACCGTCATTGGATTTGGCTAGCGACGCTTGCCTGCCCCTCTCGCCGTCGGCCAAGCACCATGTCGGAGCCTCAGCATTGCCCCCTCACAACGTGGCTGTTCGCCCAACGACCATCCAGTGGCTACGACGTCGCCACTTTGTGTTCTTTGGCGTATTTTCATTCTTTTTGGTCATTCGGCTACTGGCACCGCAACGATTTGCCCAACGCTCGACTGTTGTTAACGTTCCACGCGCGTTCGTTGGGACCGACGCGGTGGTCGCTGCTATCCATCGCATGACCAGGCTGGACGTGTTTGCAGTTGGGCTCCTTGTATTAGTTGCCGTGGACGAATGGCTCGCGTTTCGGCGTACTCGAATGCTGAAAAGTCCACAGACCGTGAATCGAACCCAGCATTTGCCTCCTGACGCAAAATCAGTAAGCGACTGCCCGGATGGGGTTGCCATGACCCCCGATGCCACACCCGGGACTGCAGCCCCCATTCGTGTTGATGTCGAAGCCAGCGGCGGGTTGAGCTGCACCAACGACGACGTGAGCCTCGACAAGCTCTGTCAAGTGCTGACGGATAGCTGCAACGAAGGCTCGGTGCGTTGTTCATTGTCTTGTCATGTTGCAAACTTGAGTCGTAGGACATGACGGTGGCATCGTATTCGACTTGCAGCGCGGAAACAGCAAAGTTGCTCGTGTGCTTTGGAAAAGCGACGGCATTTGCTGGGAGCACTGTGGCGGGGTACGTGGAATCGATTGAGAGCGCCATGGCCGCGTCAACCCTTCAAGCCAAGCCGCTGACGTTGCGCGACGTTGTGGCCAAAGAAGTTGAGCTCGGGACCGCTTCCAGCGGCGGCAAGAAGAACCCGTCCGTGAGTCGGTACGGCGAAGTTTGGTGCAAATTTGCGAGTATGACGGATGGGACCATGGTTAGATGCGTGTTGCGCCTTCTTTGGTTTCTCGAATTCGTTGAAACTATCCTGGGCGTGCTGACGGACTCTAGCACGGAGGACGACATTGGCACGGGCGTTTCGAAAGGTTCGTCGTCCCTCGGTGTGTTCATTTGCGTACACTTTACCATTCTATACGACGTGAATGAGGGCAAGCGTCGCTGTGTTCCGGATGCACCTGTGGAGGGCAACAATAACGTTGTGCCTTGATCAATAGCCTACGAATCGACGCTGGGGACGCGGCATCCTTGGCTAATTCGCAAGGGCGTCATGACGGCGTTGAGTTCTTGTCCATTAAAGTCGGCCGTGCTGGCCAAGATGGTGCTGTCCAAGCCGTCGGAAGACAAGCTGGTCACGCTGGTAGACATTCAACGCCAAATGAAAGCCGTCATCGAGACGACTCGCCACATCTTGACGGACAAGGACCTGATGGACATTAAGTAAGCTGCGATGAAACCACGTGCCGTCGTTGTATTGTTTGTACGGTTTCAATGCGTGTAACGCTGGGCGACCGGCCGCTTCATTTCCGCATGGAGAGATGGAAGTCCCTGGACATTTCAATTGCGTGGCGCAGCATGTTGCTGCCCTGCCAATGGAACTGCAATTGGCCAAAGATGTCAAACCTCTCTGTATGGCGTACTACGACCAGCCGCTTGACCTCTTCCGTGCCAACCCGAAAGTCTTGCCGTCCGAATCATACGTGCGATGGGCGGCGAAGCAACTATGCCAGGATCCTCGCTTTCGGTACAATACTACTGCGGGGTATCGATCAACCGATTTCATTTGGATTGTAGGATTCTGCACTTGGATGAAGCTGCAGCGACGGAGTTGGTGTTGCAGGAGTGGCGCACCAACATGACGCGCATGGTCTACCAAGCACGACTCAATCCCCACGAAATATTGGATGGTCCAGTGGTTGTACGGTCCCAAAGTGGTGTCATTCGAGTGCAGGACGCGCTGGCCCCCAAGCAACCGGTCGACGCCATTGCAAATCCAGTACACCAGTCCAAGACGAAGCCATCGACAGCAGCGAAATCCAAAAAAACCAACGACGCGAAGCGTGTTTTAACTGTGGCGAAATAGCGTAATGCATTTCTTCCCGACATTGAACTTGATGAAGTTCTTGCTCTCGTACGTGAACGACGTCTTGTATTCAGAGCCCACGATGCAGTGCCACGTGGGGCCGTACTTTTCCTCGAGCCAAGTTTTTAGGTGCTTGGAGATTTCCTTCTCTTCTGTGAATTGCTCCATGGCCACCGCCGCTTGTGTTAGCACATCGCTCTACAAATACATCCACAAGGACATGAACCCCTTCGCCTTTTTGCCTTTCATTCGTATGTACCTTCATATCTCCGTGCTCGTCCACTACAATCCACGAGGGAGGATGAGATGCCATCATCTTCTTGATCACGTACTGTCTGTCTCCAGTTGCTTGTTGTTTTCTCGGGTTGACATGGCGGCGGCGGTCGCTCGAGTTGCAAAACTTGGAATGCTCGAAGCGTCGCGAGTTTGGATCTTTGACATTAAAATTCGCACAACGATTGGCTAAAATACAGCGAATGAAGTGTTTGAATGGATCGAGTGACAACGTTGGATTGGCTAAAGATCTTTATTTATGACTGAACAAATATTCATCAATCAATTTGTTCTATTTGTATCATTGGATGAAAAATTCTCAATGATTGGATAAAGTCTGTTCATTAAGTTTGTTTTAGCGAATAGGAACCGGTTGAAGTTTCTAGAAGGTCAGCGAATTTTGACGAATTAAAACCGAGGAATCGAGGTTTTAATTGGTGGCATGTATCTTACAAACAACAAGATAATAAAATACTGTCGAATGGTTGTCCAACTGCCTTCAACGCCAATAAACTCTTGAATCTCAACATGCTCGCTCGCGTTGTCCTGTCCACGTGCCGCCGCGCTTCTGCTCCAGCTCAGCGCAACTTCATGCGCTCCAGTGTTCTGTTGAACGAAAACAAGCCGGAAGAAGAAGCTACTGCTGCTGCCACGGAAGAGCCTGCCGTCGCAGAGGATGGTTCCAGTGACCCTGTTGCCGCATTGCAAGCTGAAGTCGAAGCGTTGAAGGCGAAAAATACCGACTTGACCGACAAGGTGTTGCGTGCATTGGCGGATGCCGAAAACGTGCGTCGGATTTCGCGCGCCGACGTCAACAACGCGCGCGAGTTCTCCATTTCTAAGTTTGCCAAGAGTTTGTTGGATGTTTCGGACAATTTGAAGCGTGCCCATGAGAGCATTTCGATCGAAGAATTGTCGCCCGAACACAGCTTGGACGCGATCAAGAACCTCCATGAAGGCGTCGTCATGACAGACAAGGAACTACAGAAGGTGTTTCACTCGTTTGGCATCACTTCTGTTGGTGAAGCCGGCGAGAAGTTTGACCCCAACTTCCATGAAGCGTTGTTCGAGTATGTGGACCCGACCAAGACGGCAGGCACGGTCGGCCAAGTGCTGAAGACAGGCTACACGATTCACAACCGTGTGTTGCGACCTGCGCAAGTCGGCGTCGTCAAGGCTAGCCCATAGAAACCTCCATTACAACTCCATCTGTGCTCAATAGACCTCTTGAATCTTGACCTGAATGCTACCAAATCCACGCATCGACCCATCGACTACAAGACAACGATGCACAGGAAATGGCCAACATCTCGAGATGAAAGGTGCATCCATGTCCTCGTTAGGGCGGGTCCTGCCAATGTGGAGTGTTGGAATCACTTTGTGTGGGTTACAAGCACACGAGCTGGAGGATGTGTAAAGGACGACAGGTTTGAGCAGCGACACCATTTTGATAGCAACTGGGACGTAGTGCTCCTCGAATGCATATAAGTCGAACACCGTGTGACGTGACGCGAAAGGACGAAGTGAGTTGAAGCCATCTTGTCTCAACGCTCTCGTGCGGGACGTCTTTTGGCTACATTGACGGGGCTATCGAATGCTGGCAAAGGATGCCACGGGAACGGAGGACGATGAGTCAAATCGAAATGCGTTGCGCTGTGTTTGCCGCGGAGCAAACACTTTGACTTGACGAATGTGCGTGTCCCGACCGTTTTGATGCATCCCCGTGATCGCAAGTTGCAGCAAGAATGTCCGCAAGGGCTTCTAACACCGACAACAACCAGAGCACTCGAGGTTTGCTCTTCTGAAAAGTAACATGTACCTCGGAGAGGTGGGACCGAGCTGCTGGTTGTGTCAGCGGTATGGTTGTCCACCCCGACGGCTCAGCAATTGTGTATGTCAACACATCAACGAGGTCTTGACATGTTGTGCCTGCGCGAACAGTGAGCGTCTTGGGAGTGTAGCTTTCGTCTAGTTTATAGTCCAAGTACAGGGCAACTTCTTGGACTGTCGTCTTCTTGTGGAATTGGATGTTTATCAAGTGTGGTTGAGTGCCGTCCGACTGCCAATACGTGTCGAGGTTTTCTAGAGAGGTGTACATCACTTTTGTCGAAGAGAACGAATTCAGAGAACGACACGCCCATGGGGCCGCATGCCCCCGGATGAACCTACCATCTCGAAGCTGCTGGACCCCATTGCCTTGCTTCGCAGACGACAGCGTCCACACCGCCTCGTCGCCGATTTCTCGCTTTTCCATGGATTCCATTTGACGGTTTTACGGATATAGGATATATTATCCGGCGCCGTCTGGTTGGGGGTTTGACAGGACCAACTTTCCAACGTCGCAAAAGGTGTTCCATGAGCACCGACACAAACGCTATGCCGTCGCCGCCACCGTCGTCGTTGCCGCGCGACATCGCCGTGGAAGACTTGGAATCCAAGCCTCCAGCGCCTGTGTCGTCGGTGGACCAAGTGGAAACGACAATTTCTGCCTCCGCGCTGCCACCGTCGCAAGGTGAGACAACTCCATCGAATTCAATTTCGTCGCCACCGCCAACGTCACCATCCACCACCACGTCGCTTGTGCCAGCGAAGGTAACGCTCTCATCAGCATCAGCACTGGTGGCTTGCGAGTCGCTGTCGATGACATCACCCCGCCACGCAGCGTCATCGCCTCCTCCGTCCGGTTCAACGTCGCCGCGCTCCAATAGCTTCACCAAGTCGTCGCCCCACGACAAGCACATGTCCCCCGCGATGGAATGGCGCAACAAAAGTGTTTCGTGTGATGCCTTGCGCGGGTTTGAGACATCGCGAAAAACATATATTGACCCAGGACAATCGGCCGACCGTCGGTACTGGGAACTTTTTTGCCAGGAGATTCAGGCCGGTCGCGAGCACAACGCGCGATTAGTCAAGTTCTTCACACTCAAAGTTCAAGCCGACTTGGCGTACGCCGACAGTTTACGTCGTCTTCGACTCGTGCTGGATAGCCCGCATGCAGATGTGCCAGCCGCGACTGCATCATCATCTTCCAAGGGGTCCAAGTTGAATCTTCAAGCTGCATCGTCCTGCGATCAAGCGTTATCTGCGCTGGGTGAGAACCAGCAACTGCTGTGTGAAAAGATCGAAATGTTTACGAACGCCGTGCAACGCGATGTCGTCGCTCGCCCATTTCAAGAAATGGTACGCCACAACCCCTCCCTCGTTGCACCCAACTGCTGTGCACGTACTTCTTTGCACCTACCTGCATGACAATCCTGACGTATCGGCTGCTTGTAGATCACGAAATACGAAGAGACTGTGACTACGATGCTAACTGAAGGCGAACACCTCGACACGTTGCTGCATTTGACGCAGCGTCGCGTCCAGGAGGCGTTCGCCGTATACGACGGCGTCTTCCGAGACATGGAGCGCCATCGCCACGCGAAAGATCCAACGCATCGCGGCGGCGACAAGGAATCCACGTCATCGCATGACTTGTGGCTGGCTGAAATGACGTATGGCATGCACGTGAAGCGACTGCAAAACGTGCGAGTCGAATACGTCAAAGGGATGGCTGCGCTCTTTCACCAGCTCAAAGTACGTGCCGAAGCCTTTGGTTGATGCGTGCATGGGATGGCAGGCATGCGAATGCGGGACTCACACGTCGACAGACGCTGGAGGTATTGCGTGTGTCGGTAACCCAGTCGGCGCTCGACAACTTTCTCCGCAAACAAAAGCTCATCTTTGAAGAGCTTGGGAATTCGATGGCGGAACCGCTTGCTATTGTGCAGGTACGATCTCGTTCGCGGCAGTGGCGCGGTCGACCGTTCTTGACCATCTATATCTCGGCAGAAAATCGAGCCCGAAAAAGATTTGATTCAAACGATCCGTCGCATTCCACGCAACGTACGTGACATGTCTCTTTAATTGTAATTTGTTGGAGGGGCGCCATGGCGAGCGGGCACAGCTTGGAGCCCATGCCCGCGACTCGTTTTGCATGCTGTCTGGTTCACGTCGGCATTTGTTGTTGCTTAGAACACGGCGCTGGCCTTGGCTTCCGAGACCCAAGAAGCAGAGTTTTTCAGCTCGTTTCGGTCGCCGCTCGCGAGTCCGTTGGTACGACCGCTCTTGCCACAATATTTCGATTGGAGACTCGTCGGGCTCTTCGTGCTTAATGGCAACATTTGCATGGATACATGCGATGCGGATCGAGAGGCGAATTGCGACGGGTGACTCTGCTGTGTGTGGTTGTAGCTGATTCGATGCGGGTTCTTAAAGTATCAAGTGTCGTCCACGATGTTCAAGAGTTGGAAGGACGTGTTTGGCGTGATCACCCAGGACCGGTTCTTCCACGTGTTTGAATTGGACCCTCCGACGTCGGGCAGGTCGACTGCTGTCCCCAAGAGCCTCAACGAGTACGTGCTCGAGTCGCTTCCGACCAACCCCGACGACAACGTCAAGTGCCATCCATTTGGGTCGATAGCCCTGCCGAGCTCCCGCCTCACGATCGCCAAGGGCACGACACCATCGTTTGAGATTGCCGAGGCCGTTGCGTCGACCGGTCTCTTCAGCGTCTTCAAGACCGAATCGACCAAGCGCCACATCTTTCAGTGCGTGTCCCAGCCCGATTTAGTCGACTGGGTCGTTGCCGCCAAGCGACTCATTCCAGACCCCGTCAAGGCAGTCGCGCCACACTAACTATACTATTTTCAAACGGACTCGTGCACCAGCTCCAGTCGGAGACGTATGACACATATTTGCGGTTCTCCTACGCAATATCCCGCGCCTCTTGGTGGAAGAGTTCCTGGCATTTGTGGAAACGAGGCACACGCGCATCCGAGTGGACATGCGTCGCTTAAGATGACAAACTGCGTGAGGTAGCTGTGATAGCGTCCTTGCTTTGTGGACCTCCTCGTGGCAAACTGAAAGTATGCACATGCGCTGAAAGATTCATGCGAGAAAGAAATGGTACCACGGCGAAAGCCATGGACTGTACAGTATGCCCGAATGGCCCATCGATTCAATCCATACTGGATGGACCACATGCTGCCGTCGCCGCGGGGTCCACCAGCGACAACAAAACGCAGCCTTCGCTTGACTCGAGTTGCGTTGCTGGCGATCTTACTACACCTTCGAAGGGGCACACCGCCCACGTAGCCCCCCCCGTCCAAACTGACATACTGTTTGCCATGGTATTTTCGTGTGAGATTGGTTCGTACGGACGACGACTGAAGTCTACGCAAAGTTTGATTGGTTGCAATAATTTGCATTTTAGCCAACCAATGCTTTGACATGGCCAATATGTGGACCAATCAAGGCGAGATGGATCCTCTGCTGCGGTTCCATTGGACCAAAAATTTGGGGCAATTCTAGCACAACGGGTTCGTACGCGCGACCTTTGGGGCGAACCCCACTGGTTGACATGTAAATGTTCTCAACGTGCCTCGTCCAAGCTGGCAGAGCACAGCGCTGTGCATTTTCTGCATCAAAGCTCACTTGGCATGATGGATGAAGACAGCACGAGAACGCACTGATCAAGTCGAACGTGCGACACATGACTTGTGGAGCAGGCGGAAAGCTTTCCCCGGACACCACCGATCAAAACCTCGACTCCCTGGAAATGCGGTTCCAGGATCTCCAAGAATGCGTTGATATATGCCAACACTCATTTGTTCAGAGTCATGACGTAACTTTCGGCTGAATCAAGTTGCCACGTGGTGGACAGCGACCGAAAAGCATCAGGAAACTACGCCATACCAATTGCCAACCCGTCTCGTACGAGGGTTCCTCTAGTGAGCGGCGCCACGCCATTTGTTCCAATGTAAGCACCAAGCGCAAGTACATCTTCAGTTTGTTCGCCGGGTCGCACGACCAGAAGCGATAGGCCCCGCGTGATGCATCCCTTGAGGATGTCCATTCAAGGAGATGTTTCGTGTCTGATACCATTTCCCTGTCGTCCGCATTGACGTTTTACCTCCAAGAATTCTCCAATCTGTTTGGTCCGGGCTAGCTCGTGCGCCTTGCTCAACTGCTGCCCGAGGCGAATTATGCCGACAAAAGTTTCTTTGCCTTGCACACGCAAGGGATCAACAAGAGCTCAGGTTCCTTCGCTGCAGCCAAGAATTGCCCGCCTCAAGGAACGAGTCGATAGCTCAAGAACCCAGGTTTCCGGCTTGTCCTGAACGGCAACAGCATGAATGAAGTTAGGAAGGCTCTGTCACGTTAGGAAGGCTCTGTCACGAAAGATTGGCACCCCAACAACTAGCATCAAGTTTTCCTTCTGTTGTCAATGTGCTCGCTCGAGCGGCATGAAAATCACAACGAGCGGAGCCGCAGCTGGTCCGTACGGCACAAACGAACGTGTTCGCCGACTGCGACAGCGGGGAACGTCGTCAGTCCTCCCTGCTCACTGGGCAAATCAAGTCTACCGCACAATACCTCTTTGTCTACATTTGATTTGACGCCACCCGATTGACCCACACACGTGCTCGTACGTGCTGCGTAACCACGCGACCACGCCACCGGGACCATGGATATTCTCTCTCATAGAATCGCCCGATCTTTCCACCTCCATCGCCTTTGTCATAACCACGCGCAGAAGAGTCCATAGAGCCGAAGCTCTCGGACGCCTCTCAACCATTGAATTGTCGTCGCTCAAACGTGCACTGATTTTATGCCTCGCATGACAAACGACTGTCTTTGCATTTTGTGGTAGACGATTTCCCTGAACCAGTCGCTGTCTCAGCCGGGGGAGCCGCGCTCGGCACCTGGGAGCTTTCCTGAACGCAAACATCGTAATCGTCATGCCGTGCCCTTGCAATCCTCTCCATCAACCTTCCTGCTACTCAGCGCCGCAGCCACAAGCCTCACTCCAACGAAGTCATGGTGCGTACGCCATCGCTTACGGAACCGATCGTGAATTGAAATGACGTTGGCATCCGCTTTACAAGCGTGCTACGTGCGATACTTACGGTCGAAAGAAGGAACGACGGGCCTCTCTCGACCAGAGCATCTCGAAAAAGCCCCTACCAAAGAGAGAAGGCTTGATGGGCGTCTAGACGGCGGTAGCCCGCCTACGTGGCGCCTGCGCGAATCGCCTTGATAGGCTTCGAGACCGTATTGCCTGTATCCACCAACTGGCAGGGTGACATGGGGTTGGAGTCGTGCCCCAGGGTTGGCAATGATGTTGAGAACACTTGGTAGTTGGTTGCGGCGATGGTTTTGCCGTGGTCGAGACTGTTCACGAACTCTTACTCTTGTGAGTTGTCTCAAAGGATAGCCAGAACGGATGTGGTGGCGACGACACAGACGACGATCGCACGATACACATTCTTTCTTGGGCTCGATGGAAAAGAGACAAACAGACAGGTTCCGGGCTCCTTCATGGATAATATCGAGCTGCGTCATTCTCCTGGAGAATCAAGTGCGCCGGTCCCAGAGAATCTGCTTCAATTGTCGTCGCTGTAATCAGCATGAACAGCTAACCATCGAACGCACGACGATTCGCCGTGAATCAATGCGCCCTTACACTCCCAACACCGTCTCCCTCGATCGCGCCAGTTCACTTGGATTGCCAGTTGCACAGATTCATCCTGGCAACCCCCCCCCCGCTGAGGCTGAGGAGTCCAAGTCGAGTCGAGTCATGACATCCCACCCAACTTGCTTGACGCGGAACACGTCGCAGCATTCACGTCGCCTTGCTGCGTCAGAACTTATGGCTTTGGGCATAGTCTACTCCAAGGACCCATTTGAAAACGCTTTTGCGATCCAGTGCCACGGGCATGGAGCAGTTGGCCGCCTTCCCCCCCAGGCGCGAACGCGCCCACGTCGACTGCATAGACGCGTCGTGCTGGAATCCTGCGTGCAAGGGCATGTTGCACAGGACGCGCTCCATGTCGTCGCCTCGACGTCCTTTGCCCGTGCAACTTTGCATTTTCCACGTCGTGGGTCGCGCTGATGCAGTGGCATCGACGTTTTCTACCTGACCCGAGCAAACCAACACGACAGGAGAACGACAGAGGTGCCGTGCCAAGCCAGACAATGCATTTTGTCCACTATGTACAGCTGGTGCTCGTGACCCCCGACGCAACCTCCAGGGCCTCACGAGTGACACCATCATGACTCGCGCTGTTGCCCAGTGGTCCTGTGGAACGAACATGCCATGTATGAACTCATTTGCCTGCTGTGTCTCCCAAGTCACGACGCCTCCGGCAGGCATGGACGCTACGAGCCTGGAACTTCCGAAGGCGTGCAGTTCACGCGGAAGCCTCTGCTCGCTGTCAAGCCAGGTGGCAACGACGATCGAGCTCTTGAACAACGTGACGGTGGCGCTCACAAAACAGGTCTGTCCTCAGTGTCAGATTAAATCGGGTGGCAGCGTCTCGGCAAAGGACTGCTGGGTTTGAGCTGCTTGGCAGCACTCGCACCATACATCCCACGAACCTCACCACTCAGGCGCTTACACTCATCGTCCCACTCGACACCAGCTCCATGATGTCCGACATCGTTGTGATGGTGGGTTGGCCGCCCCCGAATGCGCTCTCGCTGAGCTGCATGTGTTATTCTTAAGTGATTCTGCCGACAATCGTGTGCATGGTAGTCTATCCATGGACTGGGCAGCTCGATCGCCATGCCCCCCCGTCGGTGTCCATCTCCAGTCGGAGGAGATGCCGGGTTTAGACTACGCGCTGATGTACCAGACATTGATGGAAAGCGATGTTCCATGTAGTCACACTCGCCAAAGTCGTCGAGAGTGGTCGTCGAGACTTCGTACTTGAGGCCTCGGTTGCACTGGAGGCCAGCAACATCAGCGGGGGGGATGGATTTGGGGGACACCAGTGATGGCGACAAGGGCGATAGCAATGACTTGCACTGGTTAAAGTTGGAAAACCATCCTTTTGACAGCAACGTGTAGGGGCCAGCAACAGACAGATTTCAAAAAGTTCTTGCCCTTCGTTTACCGTGGAGTAAGCCTTCCCTCGCCTCAGGATGCCCTCCCCTCGAATCATGACTGGCCACGATACGGATCGTGCCGAGATTGCGAGCCCGTTCGGTTGGATGGCGCGGGCAACTATGTACTGCCGCGGTTGGACGATATGAAGTAGTGAAGCCATGCTCCAGACGGCATGTTTGATGAGGTCGCGCCCGTTTCGCAGGACGTCCTTCCTTTGCATCGGTTGTTCAACCGCCTGCGACCACTCGATTAGGTGTTTGCGCACCAGGACGCGGCTCAGCTGGCGATGTGAGCCATTCGTTCCTGAGCACAATCCATCCACAACCTCCACGATGCGTATTCGAGATTTGCCAGTCGAGGACACACGTCATGGACCGAATCCATGTGCTTCCACGTCCATCGCCATGGCATAGCGCCGCTGTCGTCGAGAATGCTGGATCGTTGCCGTCGCAACGTAGCGCCTGGTTGTGCGCGCCGACGCAAGGAAGCGCTGCCGGTGTACACACGTCCTGATGGACAGACAGCATCCCCGAGTTGTCGAAGTGGTAGCACGGCTACACCAGAAGCGATCTTCCCCCTTCCTGTGTACGAGGGAATATCGTCGACTACGAATGGAAGCTGTGCACGAGGAAAGCCAAGTTGCTCAGCACGGTCGTTCAGCCTTGCCACTACGAAAGAGCCAACGACATGCAGACCAAGCCAACGGAAGCATCGTTCGCAAGAAAAGGTCGGGTGGGAGAGGAGGTCTCGGAGAGTTCACTCGATTCATGTTACCCGGCCGACGAATTGGCGGTGGCGACGGTCGTGGTGGTGTCTAGTGCCATGGTACGATCGCACCGCGACGATAAGCACACGAAGTGTGGTTCGCTCGTTCACTTGGCACTCGGTGGCTTCGGTCGCTTCGACGACAATGTCGCGACGACCCGAGTGAATGTGTCGAGATGAAAGGACCCTTTGCACACAGGGCACGTGATGGTATGGTCAGGTTGTTGCAGCTTCTTCCAGCACCGGACGCAGCAAATGTGGCCGCACGGCGGCGCTGACGTCGTCTGGACAATGTCAAAGCAGATGCTGCACTGTGGGTTGGCCACTTTTGCCGCAGGTTGCGAGGGTGCTTTGCGCTTCGTGGAAGTCAGGTGACTGAGCTGATCCATGGCTTGAGCCACCGAGCGTGGAGGGAGAAGGGGGGCAATCTGCTCGCGGAGCGTTGGGTACGGCGCGAGGAGGGCGTCAATGTCGTCAACATGGCTCTTCGGGTCCCGCATGTACATCACGAGCTGGGTCACTTGCGCCGGAGGCATTAAAGTTCGCGTCTGTTGCACAAGGAGCTCCAGCGGCGCCATCTTGGGCGGGGCGGGGGACATGTGCGGGCGTGAGATCGAATGAAGTGCTTCAGGGGGTATGTACGACTGGCCATCGCCGATGGCAACCTGGCTGGCCAGCACATCGGACGGTTTTGACGATACGTTGAATGCAGACGCCGTCGCTGAAGATGACGATGGCGTTGCAAGGGGCTGGGGCGGCTTGAATGCGTACATGGCCTTGACTTTGGCGGTGGCCGCGGCGGCAGCAGCCGTGGAAGCGGCGACGGTGGCAGCTTGCTCTTTGTTTCGTCGGAAGAACCCCGTAAGCCCTCCATGGGCTTCGCCTAGACAAGCCACCACCGTTCAGAATCCGCAGCAGGGCCAGGTCAGCATCGGTGCAAGCCGATTTCGTAAAACATGGATGGCGAGTAACGACGCATCGGAAAAATGGGTACACGAACGATGGCAACGCGGAAAAAATGAATCGTGGAGATAGTACCATACGACGACACCACGTGGACGTGGGGTTGCAACCACTTGGAGAGGGATCCTTTTTGTTGGCCGTAGGCAAACCGTTCGTCCAAGAGGATGATGGCTCCTGTGGGGGGCGAACGACATTGAGCCACGTTGATCTCGAAAAAGCCAATTGTGTGTGTGTGTACCATAGTCATGGCGGTGCCGAATCACGCGTCCCACCGCTTGGTTGACGGCCCGCGATGCCTGCTGGACATACCACTGATTGCCGCTCAGTTTCTATCACGACGCGATCGATTCAACCATCGGCTTTGGTCCATGCACGGGATCCTAGAAAGAAAGAAATGCGTATATTGCGCCCACCATTTCATTGGGGGCGACGACTTGGTTGTCCAAGAACGCTTTCTTCAACATGATCTTGGGGTCCTTGGTCGGTGGGAACGGAAGACCCGTGATGACCACGGCGCGGCCGTTTTCGTTGGAAAAGTCGATGCCTTCGCTGACTTTACCTCGGCACACGGCAAAGAAGATCGCCCCGCTCG